CACAGAGAATAGATGTGGTGGTGACAGCTGCAGAGAAGTATTTGGGTACACGAGATTTGACTTCAGAAGAGTTACAGGGTGTGTTGAGGGGTGGTTTTCCGTCCTCCCAGGCCATTGGCATGGTGTAGGAGCAGATAGGGTCAAAGTAGTGGAATGGGGTAGTGGGGTTTTAATGAGAGTAGGTGGCAGCTGCAGAGAAGTAACTGGATGGACGAGATTTTATTGCAGAAGAGTTAATGGGGTGGTGATTTTTAGTTTTATGAAATAGTGGTATATAGGTGTAGGGTTAGTTGGTGGTGCAAGTTTTTCATTTTAGGAACAGGAATAATTAAGATAATTTAATCTAGGTAGGCCGTGACTGGCCTCACACTTTAGTACAGTAGGTGGCGGTGTATGCACCTTTAAGTTGGATGCGATCCGCCAACCCAGTCCCGAGAAAAGATCTCCATTCCAGGCGGGTCAACGACAGACACGTACTGCAAAGGGAGATTCAGCTTGGTGTGCTGCTGAGTGCTCGCGCTTTTGCTATGTATCTGTCTTTCGGATTGAAAGGGAATAAGCAACAATCAAACTTTACTCTGTGTGGCGGCGGTTTGGCACGGCTGTGCTGTAGGAGATGGTGATGGAGAAGAAAGTGAAGCAATTATGGAGCATAGCGGGACACATAAAGGGGGGAGTAGGAAAGAGAGAAAGAAAAAGGATGCGGGAGAGAAAGGGAGTAGGGATTTGAAGGGGAGCGAGAGGTCTATGGAGGCGGAGATTTAGAAGAAAAGGAAGCTTAAGGAGGGCAACATAGTTTCCAACGCCAGCGGCAGTTCGCAGGTAGAGAGTGCTAGGGGAGCATGGAGGTGTGGAGGAGCATAAAGTGTTTCTGAAGTTTAGGGAGGAAGGGGGAGTTGGGGCGATGAGTCCGATAAGGTTGACGACTGTGATAAAATAGTTGATTGGGGAAGTTGTTAATGCTAAAGTGTTAAGAGATGGGAGCTTGTTGGTGTTCTGTAAGGACATGGCGCAGAGGGAAAAATCCCTCAGATTTATGCAAATAGGGACGTGTAAGGTGGTGTCGAGCTGATGGACTGATCAAGCAGGGATGCAGTGGATTAAAGGGGTGATTAAAGGTGTTCTGTTAGATAGGTAACTCTTTATCCACAATATAGCAGGGGGTGTAAAGCCATAACAAATACGTTTTTCCAGCAGCAGACTATGATCGATAATGTCAAAAGCCGCACTGAAGTCTAACAAAACAGCCCCCACAATATTTTTATCATAAATTTCTCTCAGCCAATCATTAGTCATTTGTGTAAGTGCTGTGCTTGTTGAATGTCCTTCCCTATAAGCGTGCTGAAAGTCTGTTGTAAATTTGTTTACTGTAAAATAGCAAATTTTTTCAAAAAGTTTACTGTTCAATACTAATGGAATCGCTTATTTTATTTAAAGGTTCTTCTGGCCTTGATGACACCCCCTACAACTACCGCCACTCAAGAACCAGAAGAATTTCAGAGAATTGCTTTGGGATCCTTGCTGCAAGATGGAGGATCCTAGGAGAAGCCCTTGAGGTTGCCCCAGAGAAAGCTGAGACCATTGTGAAGGCCTGATTGGCCCTCCACAATTACCTTTGCACCACAGACAATAGACATTGACAACACAGTCATCAACACGGTACATCCACCCCATGTTTGTTGACCACTCCACAACCACTGGGGACCTGCGTCCAGGAGAGTGGAGACAGCTTCCTCGATCCAAGAAACATGTAAATGTTGGAGTGTGGTTTGGAAAACATGTGCGAACATACATTCTCTTCTTCTGGTTGATGTCTGTTTATATGTCATGTTGTGAGCAACACACTTGGTTTTGCTGTTTGGATTTCGCTGTTTTTCTTATTCACACTTTACAAATCACAATAAACAGTAGCATAATGACCGTCACTTCATCCTTGTTTTTGGAGGCTAGACACTCAAGACATAGACCTAACCTTGTGTCATGTGTAGTGGCCTTTCAATGAGGACTTTCCTGCAGTGGTACATGGGTGAGAATGGCTGTCCAGCTGTAGATATTAAGGACAGACCCCCAAGACATTAACCTCATCTACATAGCTCATGTACAAAGCAGTACAAGTTTACTGAGTGACTGATTCAAAACATTCATTTTCTGTCACAAGTACATATAACCAGACAAATACATTTGCAGACATTTTAGATATTTATTTACTATCACAAGAGGAAAATAGTGATGAAAAGGGAAATAAGAGAGAAAACACAAAGTAAACACCAGTAACGTGAATGAGGAAATAAGTCACTGCTGCCGTTTCTGTAACTCCTGCTGCCATTTCTTTAAGTCATCCATCTGCTGCATAATGTCAGTGTCCAAAGGATCCTCAGCTGTCTTCCTCTTCCGGCCATTGGAGCTGGGTCAGGGAGATGGGGCGGAGGTTGATGGAGTTGCAGGGCAGAGAGCAAGGGTGCACCTGGATGGTACGTTGGGTGTTGGTGAGAAGGGGCCGGGGAGGTGATGAACCAGGCCAGGGAGATGATGAGTCAAGGGGCGATGAACCATCTGTAGATGGGCCCTTAGGGCTCTGCTCTGTCCAAAACACCACCCACCTCCAAGCAGATGGCAAATATATTAGAATAAAATGCAAAAACTGGACATAATTGTACGTAGCAAATCTCGAAATAAAAGCACAAAAAAGGAAGCTTGCAAGTAGTAGAAGGGAAATTTCAGAACGTCCATCTCTTCCGTGTTTATACCAGAAGGGATACCCAAAAATATGTGATGTAGACACAGGATAGGGACTTCCGTTGAACGAGAGAGGAACACCCTGGAGTGCTGGATAGGACGGAGGATGTAAATGATGTGTTGAATGCACCATTTACCAGGGCAGAGATGAAAAGGGCAACAGGTAAGGCTGGGTTAACATCACCTGGGAAAGATGAGGTGTGCTATGTTATGTTGGCCCAGCTTAGTGATGAGGCACTGGATAAGGTATTGGTGTTGTACAACAGAGTGTGGGAGGAGGGGAAACTACCAGGCAGCTGGAAGGAGGCAGTAGTGGTACCAATCCGAAAGCCATGGAAGGACCCAACGAGGCCAACAAGCTATTGGCCAATAGCTTTAACATCACATGTATGTAAGATTATGGAACGTATGATTACAGAGAGGCTAACTTACTTCCTGGAGAATAGGGGGCTGGTATCACCATATCAGAGTGGGTTCAGGAAGGGGAGGGGAACTATGGACCCATTGCTCTGCTTAGAAGCAGAGGTCAGGTGTTGTTGCTGTCTTTTTTGATGTTGAGAAGGCGCATGATATGATGTGGAAGAGGGGTTGGTAATCAAGCTTGATATTATGGGGGTAGGAGAAAGAACTTACAACTGGATAAATTATTTCCTGTGTAAGTGTAAGGTGCTAAATGTGATGCGCTGTCTGATGGGGAAGGAGTGAGGGGCTGGGCGTTCCTCATTGAGGACCATGTATGTTGCATTGATCCGATCTGTAATAGACTATGGCAGTATTGCGTATGGTTCGCAGCCCGGACTACATTGGAAAGGCCAGATGTCATACAAGGGGCAAGGACTCAGAATATGTAGTGGGGCATTTCGAACCTCCCAAGTGTCTGTACTACAGGTGGAGATGGGAGACATGCCATTGCAGATTAGGAGACAGCAGTTGGCAATGAATTATTGGGTCAACCTACAGGGACATGCGGTGTCTCATCCTGCGAAAGGGATTTTACAGGCATGCTGGGAACATGAGCGAGGACAGAACACAAGCTTTGGGTGGGTGGGTAATACCCAGGGTAGGGAGATGGGACTGTATGGAAGGGAGTGTAGTCCAACAGTAGCTATTCCTGTAAATACACCATGGGTACTCCTGCATCCAGTAGTTGATCTAGAGGTGTTGGAAAGATAGGGAGGGTGTTGATCCATCTGATTTGTTTAATAAACGTCTGGATACTGTGTATCAGGATTTTGTGGCCATTTACACAGATGGTTCAAAAGATCCAAGGACAGGACGTACTGGGTCAGCATTTGTAGTGTAGGATTGTGGGGTGGCAGTCAGGAAACATATTACAGATAATCTGGCTGTATATACGGCAGAGCTGATGGCCAAACTGTTGGCCTTGCAGTGGGTGGAGGAAGTTAAGCCAGACAGAGTAGTTATTTGCTCTGATTCATGTGCAGTGTTGATGAGTCTGCAGTCCTTTAGCTCATGTAGCAGACAAGACCTGCTTTATGATGTACTACACACCCATGGCAGGATTAGACAGATGGGTATACAGATAAGATTTACTTGGGTCCCAGCCCATGTGGGAGTGGAGGGGAACGTGGCAGTTGAAGTACTGTACTGGCTAAACAAGCACTTAGTAGTGGGGATGTTAATGTTGTAGTTTAATGAGCAAGGCTGAGGCAAAAAGCCTAATATGGACAGTGATGGTGCAGTGATGGCAGGAGCAGTGGAATAGAGATACTAAGGGCAGACATTTATTTCAAGTACAGAGGAAAGTCGGGGAGGACAGCAGGAAGGGACAGAAGAGAGGAGGCTATTTTTTTTTACAAGATTAAGAGTGGGACACAGCCGGTTGAATAATACTTTAAATGTGATAGGAAAGCATCCAACAGGAAAGTGTGATTGTTGCCAGGAAACAGAGACAGTGGAGCATGTATTGATACAGTGTGGGCAGTATGAGAGGGAAAGAGAGAGGTTGAGATCGAGTATGAGGGAGAAGTGGATACAGGAAATTAGTTTAAATAGTATATTGAGTAGAACGTCATTAGATACATACTCATATTTTGTTATCTTTTTTAAAGAGAAACGGGGCTGGCAGGTAGGATTTAGTTTCTCCCTCCAGTACAGTAGGTAACGGTAATGCACCATAAAGTTGGATGCCAACCGCCGATAAACCCCACCGAAGAAGAAGAAGGGAATTCCGGTCTACTTTCAGAGTTTCGCGCGCGCTCGAATGTCAGATAAAGAACTGTGCATACATTCAGCGATCAACATTTTGGCTTAAATCTATACATTTGCATAATAACTTCAGAAATGACAGCTGCTAATTACGACCAGGCCTCTCTACCGGACCTATTGCCCCTGTACTACCGCCGACTTTTCCCTTTCTCTCAATACCACCGGTGGCTGAACTATGGAGGAGGTGAGTAGCTAGCAGCTTCCGAGTGTGGAGTTCTCTCTCCCCACTCGAACAGTTCCTTTAGTCAGAATGTTGAATAAACTCTACCGGTTGGTTGTCACCTATGTCGCTGGAAATATGTTTGTGAATTGCACTTGTGATTTGGACCAATCAAACTGCATCCGGTTGCGACAGGGATTCCCCCGAGTTAAAGTGGCTAGTGCGAGGGCTGAGAGGGTAAAAATAATGTGTTTGGACTGCAGCCTGGGAGAGCTAAAAGGGCGCGATCTACTCTTGATAGAATCATCCTGTCAGTTGAACATTAACGAAACACAAATAACAAACCCCTATCTTAGAAACTAAATTAAAGTAAAAGTTCGATATTTACAGATGAGGTCAACAATAAAATCCATCAATATGACTCCTACCAGAAATCCACTGTAAATCCACTGTAGGCAACATAATATAATACGTTATGTTGCCTTCTATGAAAAGACTGTCAAATTAACCTAATCAAATCAAATTGTATTTGTCACATGCAAGTAGAAGGATTACTTTATACTATTCCAGGTATTCCTTAAACAGGTAGGGTTTTGAGTGTCTCCGGAAGGTGGTCAGTGACTCCGCTGTCCTGGCGTCATGGGGGAGCTTGTTCCACCATTGGGGTGCCAGAGCAGCGAATAGCTTTGACGTGGCTGAGCGGGAACTGTGCTTCCGTAGAGGTAGGGGAGCTAGCAGGCCAGAGCTGGATGAACGTAGTGCCCTCGTTTGGGTGTAGGGTCTGATCAGAGCCTGAAGGTAAGGAGGTGCCATTCCCCTCACAGCTCCGTAGGCAAGCACCATGGTCTTGTAGTAGATGCGAGCCTCAACTGGAAGCCAGTGGAGTGTGCGGAGGAGCGGGGTGACATGAGTGAACTTGGGAAGGTTGAACACCAGACGGGCTGCAGCGTTCTGGATAAGTTGTAGGGGTTTAATGGCACAGGCAGGGAGCCCAGCCAACAGCGAGTTGCAGTAATCCAGACGGGAGATGACAAGTGCCTGGATTAGGACCTGTGCCGCTTTCTGTGTAAGGTAGGGTCGTACTCTGCGAATGTTGTAGAGCATGAACCTGCAGGATCGGGTCACCGCTTTGATGTTAGCGGAGAACGACAGGGTGTTGTCCAGGGTCACGCCAAGGTTCTTTGCACTCTGGGAGGAGGACACAATGGAGTTGTCAACCGTGATGTTGAGATCATGGAGCGGGCAGTCCTTCCCCGGGAGGAAGAGCAGCTCCGTCTTGCCGAGGTTCAGCTTGAGGTGGTGATCCGACATCCACACTGATATGTCTGCCAGACATGCAGAGATGCGATTCGCCACCTGGTTATCAGAAGGGGGAAAGGAGAAAATGAATTGTGTGTCGTCTGCGTAGCAATGATAGGCGAGACCATGTGAGGATATGACAGAGCCAAGGGACTTGGTGTATAGAGAGAATAGGAGAGGGCCTAGAACTGAGCCCTGGGGGACACCAGTGGTGAGAGCATGTGGTGCGGAGACAGATTCTCGCCACGCCACCTGGTAGGAGCGACCTGTCAGGTAGGACGCAATCCAAGAGTGAGCAGCGCCGGAGATGCCCAACTCGGAGAGGGTGGAGAGGAGGATCTGATGGTTCACAGTATCAAAGGCAGCGGATAGGTCTAGAAGGATAAGAGCAGAGGAGAGAGAGTTAGCTTTAGCAGTGCGGAGAGCGTCCGTGACACAGAGAAGAGCAGTCTCAGTTGAATGACCAGTCTTGAAACCTGACAGGTTTGGATCAAGAAGATCATTCTGAGAGAGATAGCATGAGAGTTGGCTAGAGACGGCACGCTCAAGAGTTTTGGAGAGAAAAGAAAGAAGGGATACTGGTCTGTAGTTGTTGATATCAGAGGGATCAAGTGTAGGTTTTTTGAGGAGGGTTGCAACTCTCGCTCTCTTTAAGACAGAAGGGACATGGCCAGCGGTCAAGGATGAGTTGATGAGCGAGGTGAGGTAAGGGAGAAGGTCTCCGGAAATGGCCTGGAGAAGAGAGGAGGGGATAGGGTCAAGCGGGCAGGTTGTTGGGCGGCCGGCCGTCACAAGTCGCAAGATTTCATCTGGTGAGAGAGGGGAGAAAGAAGTCAAAGCATAGGGTAGGGTAGTGTGAGCAGGACCAGCAGTGTCATTTGACTTAATAAATGAGGATCGGATGTCGTCAACCTTCTTTTCAAAATGGTTGACGAAGTCATCCACAGAGAGGGAGGAGGGAGGGGGAGGAGGGGGAGGATTCAGCAGGGGGGAGAAGGTGGCAAAGAGCTTCCTAGGGTTAGAGGCAGAGGCTTGAAATTTAGAGTGGTAGAAAGTGGCTTTAGCAGCGGAAACAGAGGAAGAGAATGTAGAGAGGAGGGAGTGAAAAGATGACAGGTCCCCAGGGAGTCTAGTTTTCCTCCATTTCCGCTCGGCTGCTCCGAGCCCTCTTCTGTGAGCTCGCAATGAGTCGTCAAGCCACAGAGCAGGAGGGGAGGACCGAGCCGGCCGGGAGGATAGGGGACATATATAATATGCCATTTAGCAGACGCTTTTATCCAAAGCGACTTACAGTCATGTGTGCATACATTTTTACGTATGTGTGGTCCCGGGGATCGAACCCACTACCCTGGCGTTACAAGCGCCATGCTCTACCAATTGAGCTACAGAGGACCATATAGAGAGTCAAAAGATGCAGAAAGGGAGGAGAGGAGGGTTGAGGAGGCAGAATCAGGAGATCGGAGGGAGAAGGATTTAGCAGAGGGAAGAGATGATAGGATGGAAGAGGAGAGAGTAGCGGGAGTAGGGGCACATTACCATCTGAGTAGGGGCAGAGTGAGTAGTGTTGGAGGAGAACGAGAGAGAAAGGGATACAAAGTAGTGGTCGGAGACTTGGAGGGGAGTTGCAGTGAGATTAGTAGAAGAACAGCATCTAGTAAAGATGAGGTCAAGCGTATTGCCTGCCTTGTGAGTAGGGGGGGACGGTGAGAGGGTGAGGTCAAAAGAGGAAAGGAGTGGAAAGAAGGAGGCAGACGTAGGGAGGTTAGTCACCCAGAACTGTGAGGGGTGAGCCATCCTCAGGAAAGGAACTTATCAAGGCGTCAAGCTCATTGATGAACTCTCCAAGGGAACCTGGAGGGCGATGTTAAGCTTGAATTGGCTAGTGACTGTGACAGCATGGAATTCAAATGAGGAGATAGACAGATGGGTCAGGGGAAAAAGAGAGAAAGTCCACTTGGGAGAGATGAGGATTCCTGTGCCACCGCCGCGCTGACCAGATGCTCTCGGGTATGCGAGAACACATGGTCAGACGAGGAAAGAGCAGTAGGAGTAGCAGTGTTTTCTGTGGTAATCCATGTTTCCGTCAGCGCCAAGAAGTCGAGGGACTTGGAGGGTAGCATAGACTGAGATGAACTCTGCCTTGTTGGCCGCAGAACGGCAGTTCCAGAGGCTGCCAGAGACCTGGAACTCCACGTGGGTCGTGCGCGCAGGGACCACCAGATTAGAGTGGCAACAGCCACGTGGTGTGAAGCGTTTGTATGGCCTGTGCAGAGAGGAGAGAACAGGGATAGACAGACACATAGTTGACAGACTACAGAAAAAGGCTACAATAATGCAAAGGAGATCGGAATGAAATGAACTAAACATTCATATATACAGGGGGTACCTGTACCAAGTCAATGTGCTGGGGCACCGGTTAGTCAAGGTAATTGAGGTAATATGTGAGTTATTAAAGAGACTTCTACATAAAGTTTGACTGAAACTGTAAAGTGTGTTAACATGCTCAAAATCAAACGCTGTCATTTCTGAGAGTTTGAACACCTTGAAGAAAAATGTGGTCTTAATTGGCCAGGTGTACTCTTAAATCTCAACCAGGCACAGCCAGAAGATAAATGGCCACTCCTCTCTAGGTTTTCCCCTAGGGCCTATGCTCCTGCCTTTCTAGGCAGTTTTTCCAAGCCGCTATGCTTTGCTTGCTCTTGGGGGATTTAGGCAGGGTATCTGTATAAGCACTTCATGACAACTCCTGATGTAAAAAGGGCTTTAGAAATAACATACTATTGATTGAGCGGTTTGTGCAGTGGCGTGATTACCACCACCTCATAATGTGGACTTTACTCAGGGTAGATTCAGGGTTTTTGGAGTCAAACCCAAGGTCATGCTCTTATTCTACCTGACTGTTATAGAGACATTTCTATTATATGGCATTTTAGCCTGGTTTGTGAAATTGTCAGTTACTTTAAAATTATTGTCCAGACATCAATGAATATGATGGTTGTGAACAAACAATGGGACAGCCAAATAAAATTATCTCAGATCTTTGCTATGTACTCCACCCAGTTTCAACTTATCTCCTCAGGCAGACGCAACAGTTTCTCATTGTAATCTGAACAGATAGAAGCACTCCTAAACAGCAATATGTAGGGAGAGACCATGTGCAATATTTACAGTGCATTCGGAAAGTATTCAGACCCCTTGACTTTTTTCCACATTTTGTTATGTTACAGCCTTATTCTAAAATGGATTAAATAAAATACAAATCCTCATCAATCTACACACAATACCCCATAATGACAAAGCAAAAACAGATTTTTAGAAATTTTTGCAAATGTATTAAAAATACTGAACTGAAATATCACATTTACATAAGTATTTAGACCCTTTACTCAGTACTTTGTTGAAGCGCCTTTGGCAACGATTACAGCCTAGAGTATTCTTGGGTATGACGCTACAAGCTTGGCACACCAGTATATGGGGAGTTTCTCCCATTCTTCTCTGCAGAGCCTCTCAAGCTCTGTCAGGTTGAATGGGGAGCGTTGCTGCACAACTATTTTCAGGTCTCTCCAGAGATGTTGGATCAGGTTCATGTCCGGGCTCTGGCTGGGCCACTCAAGGACATTCGGACACTTGTCCCGAAGCACTCCTGTGTTGTCTTGGCTGTGTGCTTAGGGTCGTTGTCCTGTTGGAAGGTGAACCTTCGACCCAGTCTGAGGTCCTGAGCGCTCTGGAGCAGGTTTTCATCAATGATCTCTCTGTACTTTGCGCCGTTCATCTTTCCCTCGATCCTGACTAGTCTCCCAGTCCCTGCCGCTGAAAAACATCCCCACAGCATGATGCTGCCACCACCATGCTTCACCAGAGGGATGGTGCCAGGTTTCCTCCAGACATGACGCTTGGCATTCAGGCCAAAGAGTTCAATCTTGGTTTCATCAGACCAGAGAATCTTGTTTCTCATGGTCTGAGAGTCCTTTAGGTGCATTTTGGCAAACTCCAAGCGGGCTGACGTGCCTTTTACTGAGGAATGGCTTCCGTCTGGCCACTCTACCATAAAGGCCTAATTGGTGGAGTGCTGCAGAGATGGTTGTCCTTCTGGAAGGTTCCACAGAGGAACTCTGGAGCTCTGTCAGAGTGGCCATCGGTCACCTCCCTGACCAAGCTCTAGGAAGAGTCTTGGTGGTTCCAAATTTCTTCCATTTAAGAATGATTTAGGCCACTGTGTTCTTCGGGATCTTCAATGCTGCAGAAATTCTTTGGTACACTTCCCCAGATCTGTGCGTCAACACAATCCTGTTTCGGAGCTCTACGGACAATTCCTTCAACCTCATGGCTTGGTTTTTGCTCTGACATGCACTGTCAACTGTGGGACCTTTTTATATAGACAGGTGTGTGCCTTTCCAAATCATGTCCACGCAATTTTATTTTCCACAGATGGGCTCTAATCAAGTTGTAGAAACATCTCAAGGATGATCAATGGAAACAGGATGCACCTGAGCTCAATTTCGAGTCTCCTAGCAAAGGGTCTAAATATTTATGTAAATAAGGTATTTCTGTTTTTATTTTTAATACAATTTCTAAAAACCTGTTTTTGCTCTGTCATTATGGGGTATTGTGTGTAGATTGATTTAATCCATTGTAGAATAAGGCTGTAACGTAAAAGAATATGGAAAAAGTCAAGGGGTCTGAATACTTTCCGAATGCACTGCATGTGCTTTTTACCTCTATGCTGCACAGCATTCAATCTGTGTGACTCCATGTGTGCCCACACACCCGCATAGTCTCTTGGTTTGTATCTAGAGGGCTGGCAGAGGGGGCAGTGATGTAACTTGCACTTCGTGCACGGGACTAAATCTTTAAGGCCATCGGTGCCTTTTCTCACAGTGGTATGCTGTCAAACACAAACATAAGTGACGAATACTTTAGTAAATTAGCTAGCTAGATTAGTTGATAACCAGGGGTAAACATAGAACAAGGACCAACAAGGTGACGTTGTTGGTGATGAAAAATGAATTAATGCGTTAGCTAAGACTTAGCTGCTGTCGTTAGCTAGCTAGCTTCTTTAACAGGCTAACGTTACGTTAACTGTATATCAAGATAGCTAACCTAACAGTAACGTTTGTTACACATCATTAAAATCCTAGTAGTTAGCTACATCTATGAAGAACGTAGATACTGGTAGCTAGCTAACGTTACACCAAATACAGAGCTCTAAGTGAATAGCAAAATGTTACGTCAGCTGAAATACCTACCACCATCTCTGCCGAAGAACACTCACTGAAAGTTTGAAACACAATGGCCAAAACAGCCCCCAAAACGGTCTTGAGTGCCAACAAATCAGCCCAATTGGCACTGCTCTTCCCATGTCTTAAACCCATTGCTCCCCATCCTCCCACTTCTCTCAACACGCCCATTATAAGAGTCACTCCAGCGATGCAGCTACTTACGACTCCTAAAACTGCTTCTCCAATAGAACTCCCCGATCACACTTGTAGGCGATGTCATGGCGACTTTGGCTAGATAAGCTCACACGTAGAAACACGTCATCGGGTCTAACGGTAGTCTAACGCAGAACTGTGCATGTGCAGGTCGTCAAATCAAAGGCACTCCTTCGATTATAAAGACAAGTTGTTTTTGACTAAAATTAAAACGTGTCACTTTCACGACGTTGGAGTAATAACATGTTGAACTACTTAAGACATTGGCTCGAATCTAGGTTGTGCCTTTAGATTTCGAGAAAATTAACAACTAAGGAATAATTTCACTTCTCTCATGTACACGACCAAACACCTACTCATTCAAGGGTTTTTCTTTATTTTTACTATTTTCTACATTGTAGAATAATAGTGAAGACATCAAAACTATGGAATAACACCATATGGAATCATGAAGTAACCAAAGAAGTGTTAAACAAATCAATATATTTTATATTTGAGATTCTTCAAATAGCCACCCTTTGCCTAGATGACAGCTTTGCACACTCCTGGTCAGTCAATCCGGAAAACTTCAAGAACTTTGAACGTTTCTTGAAGTGCAGTCGCAAAAACCATCAAGCGCTATGATGAAACTGTCTCTCATGAGGACCGCCACAGGAATGGAAGACCCAGAGAAGGAGAGTGATGGAGTGCTGCATCAGATGACCTGACCTCCACAATCCCCCGACCTCAACCAAATTGAGATGGTTTGGGATGAGTCGGACGGCAGAGTGAAGGAAAAGCAGCCAACAAGTGCTCAGCATATGTGGAAACTCCTTCAAGACTGTTGGAAAAGTATTCCAGGTGAAGCTGGTTGACAGAATGCCAAGAGTGTGCAAAGCTGTCATCAAGGCAAAGGGTGGCTATTTTAAGAATCTCAAATGTAAAATATAGCCTATTTGGATTTGTTTAACACTTTTTTCGTTACTACATGATTCCATATGTGTTCTTTCATAGTTTTGATGTCTTCACTATTATTTTACAATGTTGAAAATATACAAAATAAAGAAAAACCATTGAAGAAGTAGGTGTTCTAAAACTTTTGACAGGTAGTGTATGTTTGAATTTTCAAACTACTTTTCATTGGGGAGTCAGATAAAGCGTTTTTATCAAAAGGAATCCCTTATGCATGTGAACACAGAATCCTACTCATTACTTCACGTGCTTAATTACATCACTTTTGTTTTGAGCCGAGTTCGCAGTTGGCTTTGAACAGGGCACCTCTTAAAACGAATGCAATCAACTTTCACCCGAACACGCCTACCCAGTCACCCGGGCCAGATTAATAGAATCCCCTCACTACTTTACTCTTGGATATTTTGTGTCAAATTTTCAACAGTATAGGGCATGTAATGATTTCGACAGCTTTACAGACAGAAGTCATTATGTGCCCCATGCCTCTGGCATGTTTTGATTGAAAAAGTTTGCCCCTCCAACAACACACATCTACTTGCTAGCTAGTTCACAACCAGTCAAGTTTAATGATTGAGGACAACTTATTTTGCAACCCCTCAGTGACAAAGAACTACTTCCAGAATCGAGAGTTCTCCTTCACGTTGAAGGATGACATCTACGTACGATATCAGTCGTTCAGCACACAGAACGAGCTGGAGAAGGAGATGCAGAAGATGAACCCGTACAAGATTGACATCGGAGCAGTCTACAGTCATAGGGTGGGGTTCCATTACTCACTTTCTGGATCTGACCACCACTTACACACATACTCTTGCTTTCTTTCTTCTTCCTCTCTCTCTCTCTCTCACACACCTCTCCATTGTCCCTCAAGTGACCATTCTATTTATCTTCTTCTGTCACCTTCAGCCCAATCAGCACAACACAGTCAAGTCTGGATCCTTCCAGGCTCTGGAGAAGGAGCTGGTGTTTGATATTGATATGACAGACTATGATGACGTCAGAAGCTGTTGCAGGTACTTGATCAAATTTGCCAGAAAGTGTCTTTCAACCATCTTTACTATTTTAAAGTTGTGGAGTATGTTTGAATGTACAACAGATTATAATTCTCGGATGGTGCCTTTTTAAGTTCTGTTGGGGATGTGAGACCGTTCATCAGCTGTTTTGTCTTGTCTTGTAGTGGTGCAGACATATGCCCTAAGTGCTGGACTCTGATGACCATTGCCATCCATATATTGGACCGGGCCCTTCGAGGTGAGTCAGAAAAACGGTTAATTCTCACAGGATTAAAAATGAGCTCTTGACTTGAACCTATCTTTTTATTGGTCATTTTACAAAATGATCTGATGATTAATTTTCATTGTTACCTGTGTTTGTTGACTTTTTTCTGGGGTGCTCCAGATGACTTTGGTTTCCGGCACTGCCTGTGGGTGTACTCGGGCAGGAGAGGGGTGCATTGCTGGGTGTGTGACGAGGCTGCACGGAAGCTCTCTGTGGCGGCGCGCTCCGCTGTGGCAGAGTACCTGAGTCTTGTCAAGGTAAGACCACCTCTCATGACATCATAACCCACTCGAGGCTAAAAGAGGCTTCCAACAATCAAGGGTTATTCTCTTCTTGGCTATATTTGAATGGAGCAGTAGACTCAAAATCACATGCAATAGTTGATAGAAGTGATGCGGGAGCCTTACATTTTTCGACTTCTGTTCATTTGAGTCAAGAAGTGCTGAGTGTAAAGAAATGCTAACGTGATACGTTCAACATCAACACTGAAAATTATTTCACACACAAATTATGTATATGTAAATCAGTAGCCTGGAGTAGATTGATATGGTGATTATTGAATCTTTTTCTGTTCTTCAGGGTGGAGAAGACACGGTGAGGAAAGTTGTGCTGTCAGACCCAATTCATCCATTCATCACGTAAGATCAAGTTACAGAGCCATACTTGTTATCCTTGTTAGCTGTTGTGGGTTCTAGTAGCTGAGAAAAGGACCATTAGTTTGAGGTGTTGTCTAACTGTTAAAGGGCAGAATCATGTTGAATTTTGACTGACCAGTTTACCTCTAACCCCTGTCTCCCCTCCAGGGAATCCCTGGCGGTGGTGGAGCGCTACTTCCCCCAGTATGCTCTGCTGGGACAGGACATACTGGGTAGCAAAGAGGCTGTAGACAAAGTGCTGGCCATTTTGCCTGAAGATATCCTTTTCCTCTCTGCCTCTTTTCATTATATGACACTATGAAATTTGACATGCATACAGTACATGCACTCAGTGGCCAGTTTATTAGGTACTCCACCCAGTTCACGAAAATAGACAGTGAGTCACGTAGCTGTGGCTTGCTATATAAAGCTGGCAGACAGGCATTGAGGTATTCAGTTACTGTTCGATTGAACGTTAGAATGGGCAAAACGAGTGACCTAAGCGACTTTTGAGCGCGGTATGATCGTCGGTGCCAGGCGTGCCGGTTCCAGTATCTCATGCACGTCAGTGTCTAGGCTTTACCGAGAATGGGCTGTTAAGATCGCCACACTGGCAGTCAGGAGTCATGACCGCAGTCAAATTCCATGTGACCGTTGAGTCACAGTAACTAGGCTTATCTAAACCTGCACTCTGATGCCTCTGATGGTCATTAGCAGCCTACCAAACTTGCTAATGACCAGTCGCTAATGGCTGGTACTCAGCGCTCTATTGTCCCTCTAATCACGCTGACATCAATGCAAATCAAATCGAAAATCAAATCAAACATTTAATGAGAGCCCTGGCATTCAGAGTTTGAGCGGAATAGGATCACCTGTTGCGCAGCGAGAGCCAGCTCCTCATTGCTGGTTGATGCAGGGAATGAAATGTGTTCCTGTTGCGCAACATTTCTATAGGCTATGCAATTGCGTTAGAAAACAGAGTTTTGATGACCTCTATTAAAAATAGGCCTACTATATTTATTTCTCAACTTTCCATAGCGCTTTACAACCGGAGTAGCCTACCTGGCTGGCATGAAAATTAACTGCGGGAAAAGCGTCCTCCATTTACTATTCAAGTGCATACGGATGATGTCTTTTTTTCCCCCTGCCCCTGTTCCGACAGGTGCATGATAATGGCCCATTCTAAATCAAAACTAATTTCACACATATTATTTAGCATATGTAAAGACGAGATTAAATTGAGAATAGTCTGAATGGTGAGCATATTATCACTTGTGAATGATGCAAAGTGCATGGTTTTTTCTGCGACTTATTCAAATCATAGTCTCATGCACCATGTAGCCTAGCCCATAGGCCTATATGTTTTGCTAAGGTTTATATCACAACTGAAGTGGCCAAATAACGCCAAACGTAGCCTATAGGCAGTGGTGGAAAGTAATTAAGTAAAAATAGTTGAAAGTACTAAAGTCGTTTTTTTGGGTATCTGTACTTTACTATTTATATACTGAACAAAAATATAAACGCAACGTGCAACAATTTCAAAGATTTTGCTGAGTTACAGTTCATATAAGGACATGAGTCAATTTCAATAAATTCATTAGGCCCTAATCTATGGATTTCACATGAATGGCCAGGGGCGCAGCCATGGGTGGATCTGGGAGGGCATAGGCCCACCCACTTGGGAGCCAGGCCCAGCCAATCAGAAATAGTTTTTCCCCATAAAAGGGCTTTATTACAGACAGAAATACTCCTCAGCACTCCTCCTCAGACAATCCCGCAGGTGAAGAAGCCGGCTGTGGAGGTCCTGGGCTGGCGTGGTTACACATGGTCTAAAATGACGTTGGAGGTGGCTTATGGTAGAGAAATTAACATTAAATCTCTGGCAACAGCTCTGGTGGACATTCCTGCAGTCAGTATGCCAATTGCACGCTCCCTCAAAACTTGAGACATCTGTGGCATTGTGTTGTGTGACAAAACTGCACATTTTAGAGAGGCCTTTTATTGTCCCCAGCAGAAGGTGCACCTGTGTAATGATCATGCTGTTGAATCAACTTCTTGATATGCCCACCTGTCAGGTGGATTGATTATCTTGGCAAAGGAGAAATGCTCAGTAACAGAGATGTAAACAAACTTGAACACAACATTTTAGCTAAATAAGCTTTTTGTTCGTATGGAACATTTCTGGGATATTTTATTTCAGCTCATGGGACCAACACTTTACATGTTGCGTTTATATTTTTGTTCAGTATAAAACCAAATACTTTTAGACTTTTACTCAAGTAGTATTTTAGTGGGTGACTTTCACTTTTACTTGAGTCATTTCTTATTATGCAGTCTTAGAATGTATTAGGAATCAAACATATAGCCTAATGTTTGTATCACAACTAAAGTTGCATAATTAACTAGAGTAAGCATATAGGAGGACCTGTTTCTTTGTTAACCTCTCAACACAGAATAGCCGCATGTGCGCACTCCCTAAAATCGTTTGGGGAAAAATATCCTTTCTATTTTATTCAGCTATGTTCAATTGTATTGTTCTTACCATAGCCTCAGGAAGTAAGGGTGCGGAGGGTGCTGCAGCACCCCCTGAAAAATCAGAATTAAAAAAATATATACAAATTAGCAGTTGACCTCCAACCCCCACCCCACCTCTAAAATAGGCTACATTTTCTTCATAACATGTTTCTTTAGACCTGTCTAAAATAAATTATGAATTTATTGTGATGGTGTAGGCTATATTGAATGGATTTATTAAGACTTTTAGAAATGTAGATGTTCCAAAGGTCCACATCAGTGGCTTGTAGGCTATGCATCGAAGCTGGAGATTCTAAACATCTTTGTTAATTAACGGTTACCGTAAGACCGGCAGTTATTTGAATGACAATCACTGACTGACAATTTCATGACCGCCACAGCCCTAGGTGCAACAAACATAAAACATCCAGTCAGCGGCAGTCCTGTGGGCGAAAACAGCTTGTTGATGAGGTCGAAAGAGTGTGGCAATAATCGTGCAAGCTAACAGGCGGGCCACAAACAGGCAAATAATGGCGCAGTACAACAGTGGTGTGCAGAACGGCATCTCGGAACGTACAACTCGTCAATTCTTGTCAGAGATGGGCTGTTGCAGCAGACGACCACACCGGATTCCACTCCTATCAGCTAAAAACAAGATGAAGCGGCTCCAGTGGGCACTCAATCACCAACACAGGACAATTGAGTGGAAAAACATCGCCTGGTCTGACAAATCCCGGTTCCTGTTGCGTCATGCTGATGGCACAGTCAGGATTTGGCGTAAGCAGCATGAGTCCATGGCTCCATCCTGCCTGGTGTCAATGGTACAGGCTGGGGGCGGTGGTGTAATGTTGTGGGGAATGTTTTCCTGGAACACGTTAGGTACCTTGATACCAATTGAGAAATGTTTCCATGCCCCCAAAAATGCAGGCTGTTCTGGAGGCAAAGGGGTGTCTGACCCCGTACTAGATGGGTGTACCTTATAAAGTGGCCACTGAGTGTACATGGCTACACGTGTACAGTACACACACACACAATGTTCTATATGTCACAGTTTAGCAGGTTTTGTGATATATCGTTACATGTTGAGGGAGAACACGCTAGAACATGCCTATCCTTAACTGAAACTTTACATGTCAGAAAGAAGCTGCTGCAGGACTTCCAGACTGAAAAGAACCCTGAGAAGCGCTGGCGCACACTCAAGAATATGGCCCAAGACAAACGCGTAGGTGGCCATGCTCACACAACACTGCAATAAAGATTGACATAAGCCCTGTTAGAACAAAATATAACAATGTGATGTCAATGGCAGCCAAGCATGCACTTATGAAAACTACTTTCTTCAACCAGACGACTGCCAAGAAGGGCCACTACTTTGAGTTGGAGATCATGCTTCAGTACTGTTACCCTCGTCTCGATGTTAACGTCAGTAAAGGAGTCAACCACTTGCTGAAGAGCCCCTTCAGCGTCCATCCCAAAACAGGTGAGGAGAAACTATGGAGCCAGATAGCTGCCAAAAGGTTGAACGCACGTATCGTTAGGATCGTAAGAAAATACATATGTAAATTATTAGGATCATAAGAAAAGCAATGCGTGAAACATGAAACGTAACCGTTAAATTAGATCTGTAAACGTACAAACCCTATGTTACGACTATGAATGAACATTTACACATTCAATTCTTAATTTGCGGCTCCCTTTACTCGGTTACAGATCTTTTTTATATGTACAAACTTTTGTCAGGAATGTGGCATCTGCAAAGGACATGAACCGAACGTAGCTAGTTGAAGTTAGCTAGTCAATCAAGCAACTCTAGCCCAGATGTTGAGAGTTGCTTTGCAGCTTCCGGTTTCATTTCCAAAATAAAAGTCTAGAGCTTGTTTTAGAATGGCGTTCGGTAACAACATTATACCAGTAGATGGCGTAGTATAGGCTTGGGCCTTCAGCAAATTACTTGTGTGATAATTATACTATAAAGACACAGAAAAGCCTTGTCTAGAATAACCGCCTGAGCTGCAAAATAGAAAGTAAATATGATTTAGGCTAGGCCTATTCCACTATCTAAATATGCCATGCTGTTGTGTGTTATTTAATGGCCAAATAATTGCATAATGTATTTGTATAGCCGTGTGGGGCTACTGTGGTGATCATGTAACCTAATGAATCACACTTTTTCCAGTATTTGGGAGCACGAACTGTAGGCATTATATTAGCCATTTTGAATTCCACTCTGTATGTAGACTTGTTATAGCCATTTGCGTTGCACAAACCCATCACGCAGAGGCTATATCCATATCAATAAATGAGACAAAACAAAATATTGATTAAGTCTTGGCTATAACCTGTCCTGAGCTAAATAGCCAAGGGGTCCCAAATGGTCAAGACTATCTATAGCCTATTCTTATTGCCAGATCTGTTTTCCCTATCAGCCACTGCATGTGCTTTTGTAAAAAAAATATTTAGAGGCTATATTTAGAGGCCTGTGAGCTAGGATCTCTTTTTAAGGGGTGGCCTATAATAAAAACAGTTATAAAACACAAATAGAGTTCTAAAATATTTCCAGGAGACACCAGTACCCAAAATGATAGCCTAAATTGCAATGCCTACAAGTTGAAGGCCTATTTCTTTTATTTGGATAGGCCTACATTAAATACTGAATTATTAAAGTGATAGGCTGAAGAACTTTGGAGAATTTAGATAATTTTGAATACACACATGACTCTGGCTGCATGCCTCCAGAAGGGCATCTTCTGAGGCTGAGGGATGCGTTTCCGAAGGCGCATGGTGCTGTGGTGCTGCATGGAGATCACAAGCTCTTCAACTGGGCAGCAGTGTCGCGATGGAGGGAATAGCCTATATGGAGACTACCTAAGACCACTGCGAACAGAGTTATTGTAAATTGTGGGAATAAGCTTATACCAGACTTAGCCTACATTTAACCTCTCCCATGTTAATCTCAAAGTCCATATGTTCATTACCCGATTCAGGCTCAAAATGGCCAGAAACAAATAACTTTATTCTGAAACTCGTCAGTCTATTCTTGTTCTGAGAAATGAAGGCTATTCCATGCGAGAAATTGCCAAGAAACTGAAGATCTCGTACAACGCTGTGTACTACTCCCTTCACAGAACAGCGCAAACTGGCTCTAACCAGAATAGAAAGAGGAGTGGGAGACCACGGTGCACAACTGAGCAAGAGGACAATACATTATAGAGTGTCTAGTTTGAGAAATGGTGCCTCACACGTCCTAAACTGGCAGCTTCATTAAATAGTACCCGCAAAACACCAGTCTCAACGTCAACAGTGAAGAGGCGACTCCAGGATGCTGACCTTCTAGGCAGAGTTGCAAAGAAGAAGCGGGTACTGTTTTGCGGGTACTATTTAATGAAGCTGTTGAGGACGTGTGAGGCACCTGTTTCTCAAACTAGACACTCTATAATGTATTTGTCCTCTTGCTCAGTTGTGCACCGTGGCCTCCCACTCCTCTTTCTATTCTGGTTAGAGACAGTTTGCGCTGTTCTGTGAAGGGAGTAGTACACAGCGTTGTACGAGATCTTCAGTTTCTTGGCAATTTCTCGCATGGAATAGCCTTCATTTCTCAGAACAAGAATAGACTGACGAGTTTCAGAAGAAAGTTATTTGTTTCTGGCCATTTTGAGCCTGTAATCGAACCCACAATTGCTGATGCTCCAGATACTCAACTAGTCTCAAGAAGGCCCGTTTTATTGCTTCTTTAATCAGTACAACAGTTTTCAGCTGTGCTAACATAAATGCAAAAGGGTTTTCTAATGATCAATTAACATTTTAAAATAATAAACTTAGATTAGCAAACACAATGTGCCATTGGAACACAGGACTGATGGTTGCTGATAATGGGCCTCTGTATGCCTAAGTAGATATTCCATAAAAAATCAGCCATTTCCAGCTACAATAGCCATTTACAACATTAACAATGTCTACACTGTATTTCTGATAAATTTGATGTTATTTTAATGGACAACAAAATTGCTTTTCTTTCGAAAACCAGGACATTTCTAAGTGACCCCAAACTTTTGAACGGTAGTGTAAATCATGTCAATTTTTTAAAAATTCATATTGACCCCTCCTATAGATTTTGAGTGATTAAATAAATGTCAGAATATTCAATAAAAAAATATAAAAAAATATTGGCAAAGACTCCAGTGGTCATACATAATTTATAGATTCACCAAACATCCCGAGTGGCGCAGTGGTCTAAGGCACTGCATCTCAGTGCTTGAGGCGTCACTACAGAACCCCTGGTTCGATTCCAGGCTGTATCACAACCGGCCGTGATTGGGAGTCCCATAGGGCGGTGCACAATTGGCCCAGCGTCGTCCGGGTTTGGCCGGTGTAGGCCGTCATTGTAAATAAGAATTTGACTTGCCTAGTCAAATAAAGGTAAAATAAAATACAAAAAATAATTATATGTTTCATTATTCCTGGTATATGCTACTGGTTATGATTGCAGACAGAGCCCAGAGAATGGGATGGTGCAATATTAAATTAGTCATATTTTGATAAGGTGCATACATGGGGATGTCCACGTCACCCAGAGATATGCCCATGCTGTAGAGATACACCTAGCAGACTGAAACTTCACTATTGTAGGCATTATACAGCTAGTGCTATCTAGACTTGCGCTGGCAAACAAATCCATTACATTAGCTAACTAAAATGTGAAGTAAACTCAACTGAGGAGTAATAGAGAATGGAGACTTTTAACTTGAAAACATGCAGGACACCTCTTTCCGGTTTCCCTGACTTCCGTTTATTTTATACTGTTTTAGGCTCGTTTGCGTAGCACTCATCACAGGCCGTTTAGTGTACGTTTTTTTGTTTGTTGGTGAGATGAAACTCTGAAAGGTATTATTGAACGTCAGAATTGCAACACAATATTTGTTCAAGCCTAAAATATTAGTCTGTAATCGTAACATGGTGTTTGTATGTTCACAGATGAAATTTCACGTTTACGTTTCATGTTTCACGCATGGCTATTCTTACGATCCTAATGATACGTATGTTGAACCTTTTGGCAGCTATCTGGCTCCATAAGAAACTAATTGAAGTGCAAGACTAACACATTGAACCATGATAGACATTTAACCCAAATGTTGCCTGTGAGAGAAACAGTCAAAGGATGCTTCTCATCCAACTGAGGGAGATAATGTTTGGATGTCATTAGCCCAACACTCAACACCTTTCCTCCCTATGTTCCTTACTTCCCCACAGGGCGGATCTCTGTTCCTATTGACCTGAGAGAACTGGATCGCTTTGACCCCTTTGATGTGCCCACTATCAGGTAAGTCCTCCTCAGTCAGTTTGTCATACAGTGGGGAAAAAAAGTATTTAGTCAGCCACCAATTGTGCAAGTTCTCCCACTTAAAAAGATGAGAGAGGCCTGTAATTATCATCATAGGTACACGTCAACTATGACAGACAGATTGAGAGAAAAAATCCAGAAAATCACATTGTAGGATTTTTTATGAATTTATTTGCAAATTATGGTGGAAAATAAGTATTTGGTCACCTACAAACAAGCAAGATTTCTGGCTCTCACAGACCTGTAACTTCTTCTTTAAGAGGCTCCTCTGTCCTCCACTCGTTACCTCTATTAATGTCACCTGTTTGAACTTGTTATCAGTATAAAAGACACCTGTCCACAACCTCAAACAGTCACACTCCAAACTCCACTATGGCCAAGACCAAAGAGCTGTCAAAGGACACCAGAAACAAAATTGTAGACCTGCACCAGGCTGGGAAGACTGAATCTGCAATAGGTAAGCAGCTTGGTTTGAAGAAATCAACTGTGGGAGCAATTATTAGGAAATGGAAGACATACAAGACCACTGATAATCTCCCTCGATCTGGGGCTCCACGCAAGATCTCACCCCGTGGGGTCAAAATGATCACAAGAACGGTGAGCAAAAATCCCAGAACCACACGGGGGGGCCTAGTGAATGACCTGCAGAGAGCTGGGACCAAAGTAACAAAGCCTACCATCAGTAACACACTACGCCGCCAGGGACTCAAATTCTGCAGTGCCAGACGTGTCCCCCTGCTTAAGCCAGTACATGTCCAGGCCCGTCTGAAGTTTGCTAGAGTGCATTTGGATGATCCAGAAGAGGATTGGGAGAATGTCATATGGTCAGATGAAACCAAAATAGAACTTTTTGGTAAAAACTCAACTCGTCGTGTTTGGAGGACAAAGAATGCTGAGTTGCATCCAAAGAACACCATACCTACTGTGAAGCATGGGGGTGGAAACATCATGCTTTGGGGCTGTTTTTCTGCAAAGGGACCAGGACGACTGATCCGTGTAAAGGAAAGAATGAATGGGGCCATGTATCGTGAGATTTTGAGTGAAAACCTCCTTCCATCAGCAAGGGCATTGAAGATGAAACGTGGCTGGGTCTTTCAGCATGACAATGATCCCAAACACACCGCCCGGGCAACGAAGGAGTGGCTTCGTAAGAAGCATTTCAAGGTCCTGGAGTGGCCTAGCCAGTCTCCAGATCTCAACCCCATAGAAAATCTTTGGAGGGAGTTGAAAGTCTGTGTTGCCCAGCGACAGCCCCAAAACATCACTGCTCTAGAGGAGATCTGCATGGAGGAATGGGCCAAAATACCAGCAACAGTGTGTGAAAACCTTGTGAAGACTTACAGAAAACGTTTGACCTGTGTCATTACCAACAAAGGGTATATAACAAAGTATTGAGAAACTTTTGTTATTGACCAAATACTTATTTTCCACCATAATTTGCAAATAAATTCATTAAAAATCCTACAATGTGATTTTCTGGAATTTTTTTCTCATTTTGTCTGTCATAGTTGACGTGTACCTATGATGAAAATTACAGGCCTCTCTCATCTTTTTAAGTGGGAGAACTTGCACAATTGGTGGCTGACTAAATACTTTTTCCCCCCACTGTAATAAGAAGTTTGTAAAGAGCTTTACAGATTTTCAAAACATTTATTCCCAAAGCGCTAAACACAAAGTTTGAATGTGTGGCGTCCCTAGGGTTCTCGGTATTCTTACCGATCCTGTTATTGTATCTCCCTGTAGTCTGATCTGTGAGGAGCTGGATCAGCCCAAGACCGAAGAGGAACAGGAGGACACCAAGGAGAATGAGAATGAAAAAGAAGCAGGAGAGCGGCGGAAGATAAGAGGTATTCAAAGAGACAAGTGCAATTCATTACTAAGGGAGCCAAGGGATTTGATATGCATTTGTTCATTGCACGTTGAATTGACTAACAAAAGCTTATTGGTTCCACAGACTACAAACGAACAAGCTTGGCGAAGTATGTGAAACTGTTTGATCAATTCTTGGAAGGGATGGCTCGCTCAAGAAAAGGGGAGCTTCTTAAAAACAGTGGTGAGTGTAATTGAAGTCCTTAGTGGAGGAATACAATTGTTAATATGAAAATTCAGATCTAAAAGATTTGATGATCATGGCCTTTTTTCTCAATTTCTTTTCAGATCTTCAAAAGGACTTCTAACCCTGTGCAGTGTCCAACAATAGTTGGCTAATCTTAAACAAGCCTGTCATATCAGTTGTTCATCTGACAGTTAAAAGATGAACACACATTACATATGCACTGTAAACAAATGGTCTCAGTTTGAGAATTGCCGTGCAAATATATTACTCTATGAACGATTGAAAAATCACAGTTGTGCAAACTTTTATATAGCTTATTGTTTTCTCATTAAAATGACTTTGTCCTACAGTTTGTCAACCTATTTTGTGTCTTAGTATTGCTGTGGTGGAGACCAACTAGAGCTAGTCAGAATGTGGACACCCCTTCAAATTAGTGGATTTGGCTATTTCAGCCACCCGTTGCTGACAGGTGTATACAATTGAGCACACAGCCATGCAATCTCCACAGACAAACATTGGCAGTAGAATGGCCTTACTGAAGAGCTCAGTGACTTTCAACGTGGCACTGTCATAGGATGCCACCTTTCCAACAAGTTAGATCGTCAAATTTCTGCCCTGCTAGAGCTGCCCCGGTCAACTGTAAGTGCTGTTATTGTGAAGTGGAAACGTCTAGGAGCAACAATGGCTCAGCCGTGAAGTGGTAGGCCAAACAAGCTCACAGAACGGGACCTCCGAGTGCTGTAGCGCATAAAAATCGTCTGTCCTCGGTTGCAAAACTCACTGCGAGTTCCAAATTGCCTCTGAAAGCAATGTCAGCACGAGAACTGTTTGTCGGGAGCTTCATGAAATGGGTTTCCATGGCCGAGCAGCCGCACACAAGCCTAAAGTCACCATGTGCAATGCCAAGCGTCGGCTGGAGTGGTGTAAAGCTCGCCGCCATTGGACTCTGGAGCAGTGGAAACACGTTCTCTGGAGTGATGAATCACGCTTTACCATCTGGTAGTCCGACGGACGAATCTAGTTTGGAGGATGCCAGGAGAACGTTACCTGCCCCAATGCATAGTGCCAACTGGAAAGTTTGGTGGAGGAGGAAGAATGGTCTGGGGCTGTCTTTCATGGTTTGAGCTACGCCCCTTAGTTCCAGTGAAGGGAAATCTTAATGTTACAGCATACAATGACATTCTAGATGATTCTGTGCTTCCAACTTTGTGGCAACAGTTTGGGGAAGGCCCTTTCCTGTTTCAGCATGACAACGCCCCCATGCACAAAGCGAGGCCCATACAGAAATGGTTTGTCGAGATTGGTGTGAAAGAACTTGACTGGCCTGCACAGAGCCCTGACCTCAACCCCATCGAACACCTTTTGCATGACTTAGAACGCCGACTGCGAGCCAGGCCTAATCGCCCAACATCAGTGCCATACCTCACTAATACTCTTGTGGCTGAATGGAAGCAAGTCCCCGCAGCAATGTTCCAACATGTAGTGGAAAGCCTTCCCAGAAGAGTGGAGGCTGTTATAGCAGCAAAGGGGGGTCCAGCTCCACATTAATGCCCATGATTTTGGAATGATATGTTCGATGAGCAGGTGTCCACATACTTTTGGTCATGTAGTGTATTTAGCAGATGTTATTGCGGATGTAGTGAAATGCTTGTGTTCCTAGCTCCAACGGTGCAGTAATAGCTAGCAATACGCAACAATACACACAAATCTAAAAGTAAAAGAATGGAATTAAGGTATACAGAAATATTAGGACGAGCAATGTCGGAGTCCAGAGTATGTATTTTATGTGTAGATACAGTGTGGGGAAAAAAGTATTTGATCCCCTGCTGATTTTGTACGTTTGCCCACTGACAAAGACATGATCAGTCTATAATTTTAATGGTAGGTTTATTTGAACAGTGAGAGACAGAATAACAACAAAAAAATCCAGAAAAAAGCATTTAAAAAATGTTATTAATTGATTTGCATTTTAATGTGGGAAATAAGTATTTCACCCCTCTGCAAAACATGACTTAGTACTTGGTGGCAAAACCCTTGTTGGCAATCACAGAGGTCAGACGTTTCTTGTAGTTGGCCACCAGGTTTGCACACATCTCAGGAGGGATTTTGTCCCACTCGTCTTTGCAGATCTTCTCCAAGTCATTAAGGTTTCGAGGCTGACGTTTGGCAACTCGAACCTTCAGCTCCCTCTACAGATTTTCTATGGGATTAAGGTCTGGAGACTGGCTAGGCCACTCCAGGACCTTAATGTGCTTCTTCTTGAGCCACTCCTTTGTTGCCTTGACCGTGTGTTTTGGGTCATTGTCATGCTGGAATATCCATCCATGACCCATTTTCAATGCCCTGGCTGAGGGAAGGAGGTTCTCACCCAAGATTTGACGGTACATGGCCCCGTCCATTGTCCCTTTGATGCGGTGAAGTTGTCCTGTCCCCTTAGCAGAAAAACACCCCCAAAGCATAATGTTTCCACATCCATGTTTGACGGTGGGGATGGTGTTCTTGGGGTCATAGGCAGCATTCCTCCTCCAAACACGGCAAGTTGAGTTGATGCCAAAGAGCTCAATTTTGGTCTCATCTGACTACGACACTTTCAACCAGTCCTCCTCTGAATCATTCAGATGTTCATTGGCAAACTTCAGACGGCCCTGTATATGTGCTTTCTTGAGCAGGGGGACCTTGCGGGCGCTGCAGGATTTCAGTCCTTCGCGGCATAGTGTGCTACCAATTGCTTTCTTGGTGACTATGGTCCCAGCTGCCTTGAGATCATTGACAAGATCCTCCCCTGTAGTTCTGGACTGATTCCTCACCGTTCTCATGATCATTGCTACTCCACGAGGTGAGATCTTGCATGGAGCCCCAGGCCAAGGGAGATTGACAGTTATTTTGTGTTTCTTCCATTTGCGAATAATCGCACCAACTGTTGTCACCTTCTCACCAAGCTGCTTGGCGATGGTCTTGTAGCCCATTCCAGCCTTGTGTAGGTCTACAATCTTGTCCCTGACATCCTTGGAGAGCTCTTTGGTCTTGGCCATGGTGGAGAGTTTGGAATATGATTGATTGATTTCTTCTGTGGACAGGTGTCTTTTATACAGGTAACAAACTGAGATTAGGAGCACTCCCTTTAAAAGTGTGCTCCTAATCTCAGCTCGTTACCTGTATAAAGGACACCTGGGAGCCAGAAATCTTTCTGATTGAGAGGGGGTCAAATACTTATTTCCCTCATTTAAAATGCAAATCAATGTATAAAAATGTTGACATGCGTTTTTCTGGATTTTGTTGTTGTTATTCTGTCTCTCACTGTTCAAATAAACCTACCATTAAAATTATAGACTGATCATTTCTTTGTCAGTGGGCAAACGTACAAAATCTGCAGGGGATCAAATACTTTTTTCCCTCACTGTATATATACAGTGCCTTCGGAAAGTACTCAGACCCCTTGACTTTTTCCACATTTTGTTACATTACAGTGTCACAAGAATTTATATCTCTAATTAATCAAACTTAATGCTCTGAATAATTCCCAGTGGGTGTAAATTCTCTGGTTTAATCATGAATTAAACAAAGGTCCGCAACCAGCAAGAATGATCTGTATTTTTAATCATGGAGAGCTCTGGCGCCAAAAAACATACATACAGCTTTTATACCCCTTGACAGACAAAGGCACTTTGCTCCGCCCACCTTTAAACCGTTTCTTAGTCCCCTTCACCCTGGAATGCTTTCTCAACAGTTTCTAACTCCTCCCCCTCTGTTAGTGGGTTGACACTACATTATAACTCTAACACCGTTCACACATTTCTACTGTATTTGGGGTGAAATCCTTTAGTCATTATTCTTAAAATACAAATTAATCTATCAATCCACCCCTTTGACTAAATGTTTTCACATTCAGGATAAATGTATTTACAAGCATGATTAATCTCAGAGATTACGTCAGAACTAGTAAACATTTCATCCAATTGCGGTCTTTCAGGGTCAAAATCATCGTCATCCACCAAGCCTGGAGGATCGTTTTTCACATCCCCCTGGTCAGAGTCCGGAGTCGGTCCATCTCTCATCATTGTTGAGATACTGCATTTCACCAACGCCTTACTCACCAATCCTCGGACACAGGGAACAAGACAACAACCACATAATACAAGAATACCCATACAAACACTGACCGCCCCTAAGATGGTGGCTGCTATGGTTTTCCATTTACCAAACATTTCACCAAACCATCCTATCCACGATGTACTAACTTCTGAGTTCTCAGTTCATTCTTCACTTAGTGCAGTTAATTCTGCAAGAGCTCTGGTGACTGTCCCATCCAGTGTGGTGTTGTTAGGGATAAATGTGCAACAATGGCTTATCATTCTATAGACACCGGCCCTTTCTGCCTGATCTAGAGCCAACCTCTTTTACTAAGTCATGAGTGGGATGGCGGATAATTTCAGAGATCCCTTTTACTGCATCCCTAGTCCCGCCAATAAATCGTTGTTGGTCGTAATAGATATAATTAATCCACTTCACAATTTTGTTTATTGTCACCCACCAAAAGAACGTGGTAGTAAACCCTTCCCCTAATTTTTTCATAGCTTGTTATCCATCCGATACCCCCCTTGGTATCCCAATTGCATCCATCTAAATAGGGCTATTCTCCTTCTTGTTAAAACTCCACCTACGTCTGTTTAACCCTTTCCTTGGTTCCTGGTGACTAGTTCTAACTAGCCCCTTCTATTGTTCCTTTCGCCCCTGTAAATGCAAGAATGATCTGTATTTTTAATCATGGAGAGCTCTGGCGCCAAAAAACATACATACAGCTTTTATACCCCTTGACACACAAAGGCACTTTGCTCCGCCCACCTTTAAACCGTTTCTTAGTCCCCTTCACCCTGGAATGTTTTCTCAACAGTTTCTAACTCCTCCCCCTCTGTTAGTGGGTTGACACTGCATTATAACTCTAACACCGTTCACACATTTATACTGTATTTAGGGTGAAATCCTTTAGTCATTATTCTTAAAATACAAATTAATCTATCAATCCACCCCTTTGACTAAATGTTTTCACATTCAGGATAAACGTATTTACAAGCATGATTAATCTCAGAGATTACGTCAGAACTAGTAAACATTTCATCCAATTGCGGTCTTTCAGGGTCAAATTGACCTCAGGTGCATCCTGTTTCCGTTGATCATCCTTGTGATGTTTCTACAACTTGATTGGAGTCCACCTGTGGTAAATTCAATTGATTGGACATGATTTGGAAAGGCACACACCTGTCTATATACAGTGAGGGAAAAAAGTATTTGACCTGCCCTAATCATCTTCCTTCTTAGGAAATAATGTCATTCGTACTTGTAACATATTTT